CAGACCTGGAACCAGGGCTTGAACCAGAGCTGGAACTAGGGCTGGAACTAGGGCTGGAACCAGAGCTGGAACCAGAGCTGGAACCAGAGCTGGAACCAAAGCTGGAACCAGAGCTGGAACCAAAGCTGGAACCAGAACTGGAACCAGAACCAGAGCTGGAACCAGAGCTGGAACCAGAGCTGGAACCAGAGCTAGAACCAGGGCTCCAAAGCTAGAACCAGACCTGGAACCGGCGCTGGAACTAGACCTCCAAAGCTGGAACCAGAACCAGAGCTGGAACCAGAGCTGGAACCAGAGCTGGAACCAGAGCTCCAAAGCTGGAACCAAAAACTTGAACCAATTCAATTCAATTCAGTTTATTTCTGTAACTCCAAATCCCAACAGCATGTATCTGACAGCAGCCATAAAGAGTAAATAACTCAGACCAGAGTCCGAGTTATTTACTTGAAGAGAGAGAGGGCGAGTGTCACGTCTGGGGGAATGTCTGGTGTGTTGTCATGTCTTGATTACCTATTGTGTTCACCTGGGGTTCCCCTCCCTCATGTGTTTAGTCCTCGTTTCCCCTTGTCTTGTGCCAGTTCGTTTTCGTCTTTTCGTCCTTCTTGTTTCGTCTGTTGTCTTTCGTCACCCCCACGCCAGGTTTGCTTTGTGCCATAGTCTTTCACTTTGTTCCATAGCCATGTTTTGCCACAGCCTTGTCACAGTTTTGTTCATCTTTATTTTGTTACTTTGCCACAGTCTTGTTTACTTATTGCTTTGATACTTTGCTCATAGTTTTTCACAGCCTTGATTTAAACTTTGTCTGGACATTCACTTTTTGAACCTGTTTTGTTACAATATACCCTGTTTTTCCGTCATCTCCGCGCCTGAGTCCTCCTCAAAACCCACCCTTTATGACAGCGAGAGAGATAGGTGGTAATAGAGAGAGAGAGAGAGGGCGAGCGAGCCTGTGTGGTCTGGCCCTTATCTCCCCTCTGACGTCAGCCGTGGCCATAAAGCACGTCCTGTCAGGGACAGGCTCCAGGCGGCCGGTTCTGGGTCAGAGTTTCTGACAGAGTCCGATATTCTGGGTCACAAACGGAGGCTAAATTTACCCCGGAGCGCCGGGATATGTTTATACCCCGGAGCGTCGGGATGTTTGTACTCCGGAGCGTCGGGATGTTTGTTCCGCCTTCGTACAGTGAAGTGGTTCCCAAACCGGGGGTCACGGCCCTCAGAGGGACACAGGGAAGAAGGCCCCAGAACTCTGACAGCCGGGTCTTTGACCTGATGGAGCTTCTGAGGAGAGAATCTGGCTAAAAGATCCAGTTTCAATGGAGAGAAATGGAAAAAAAAATATATATATATATATAAAAACAGAATATGTATATATATGTCGTCTGTATGTAGGAATATATATATATATATATATGAATATGTCTTCTGCAGAGAGAATCTGGCTAAAAGTTCCAGTTTGAATGGGGAGAAATAAAAAAATATATAATATTTTCAAAATCGAATATGTATATATATATATTACTGTATATATGAATATGTCTTCTGCAAACATAATCTGGCTAAAAGTTCCAGTTTCAATGGAGAGAAATAAAAAAATATATAATATATTCAAAATAGAATATGTATATGTATATATATATATATATATTACTGTATATATGAATGTCTTCTGCAAACAGAATCTGGTTAAAAGTTCCAGTTTTAATGGAGAGAAATGAAAAAATAAATAATATATTGAAAAAAGAATGTGTATACAGTATATGTATATATATATGTATATATGAATATGTCTTCTGCAAACTGAATCTGGTTAAAAGTTCCAGTTTTAATGGAGAGAAATGAAAAAATATATAATATATTAAAAAAAGAAGAAAGATAGATAGATAGATGTGTGAAAAAATAATATAAACAGATATACACACACACACACACACACATATATAGACAAATGTATATAGAAATATATTTTTGGTGCACCTTTATGTGTTTTTCTTTATTAAATACTGGCTATAATGTGAAATTTAACAAGTGGTGTCCTGAACCTAAATCCCTTTGTGCCGCTCTCCAGCTGAGAGGGAACCATTGTGTTCAGATTGTCACGGAGGTGGGTGTTGACGGGAGGACTCAGTGGCGGAATGAGGGGAACAAGGTTTATTGACAAAAAACAGGGTGAATGTCCAGACAAAGTACAAAACA